GTAAAATCAAACATATAATCGGTGTAATTTGAGGGGAAAGTTTACTGTTTTCCGATGATTTTGTAGTGAAAAAAAAATGTTAAGCAGGTAATTTTCCCCCAAAATTGTACCGATTGAAAGCTTGGTTTTACTTCTTTAGCTTGCTCTTACTCGACTTGGTGCCATGATGTCCAAGGTAACCAGTCGACAAATTATATAATCCGGAGTCAAAAGTCGGTAATCTGAAAATAGTCTATCATGATTTAAAATACCATCCTTACAGAAAATCTTATGTATTGATTTTCAATGACTGATCAATTTTGCTTAATCATATATTATTAGGGTTAGGGTAAGGGTAATGCTTTGCGTTTCATTTCAGACTTTTTTCATACAGTGTTGTGTTTTTACGAGTTAGTCTGTGTCAGTGTGATTTTTATATTTTTTTTTATTATTATTTTTTGTATTAGAGAGTTTAGCGCTTCATCTGTACTGAATAACCTTTTCTGCATTCAAAATTGCAATGTGGTCATTGGAGTAGGTTTAATTTATATTTTTTGTTATTATTATTTTTTGTATTAGAGAGTTTAGCGCTTCATCTGTACTGAATAACCTTTTCTGCATTCAAAATTGCAATGTGGTCATTGGAGTAGGTTTAATTTAAGCGAAGTAAGTACTTTAAACCTTTGGTGAAAAAAAATAGGAAAATATATCAGAAAATTACAAAATAAACAAGCTCAGTTGTTGTGTCATTATGATGTCTTGAGTTTGCAATGTAATGAAGGAAATCATATTTGCGACTAAATTTTTGTTTATTTTTATCAAAATCGCCTGTCAACACTACGGGGCGCCGAACGGGACTCTTGTGGTTTTGTACTTGAAATTCAATTTTGTACGGACAAAAGTGAGTTTTGTTCAACAATAATGAGTTCAGTTTAACAAAATTTGTAGCATACTACAAATTTAAATTTTGTCATACAAAATTAATTTTCAGTGGAAAAAAGTTACTTTTGTCATGACAAAATTCTTTTTTGTATCACAGACTTTATTTTTGTTACCTAATTTGAAAATTGGGCGACAAAAGTCAATTTTGTATGCAAATTAGTTTAGTTTGGATTCTGTGAACTAATTTGCTTACAAAACTGAGATTTCGTCACAAAATTCAATTTTGTCTCACAAAAGTCAATTTTGTCTTAAAAAAGTCAATTTTGTCTCAAAAAAGTCATTTTTGTCACAAAAGTCATTTTTGTCACAAAAGTCAATTTTGTCTCACAAAAGTCAATTTTGTGTTTTAATTTCCATATCAGGTAACAAAAGTCAATTTTGTATGCAAATAAGTTTATATTTGCATACCTATTTGACAAAATTGAAATATTGAATTTTGTCATGACAAAAATGAATTTTGTCTGCAAAAAAGAATTTGTCATTACAAAATTGAAGTTCTCATAAAACAAGTCTGTATCACATAGTTTTGTAAGACAAAAATGATTTTGTTATGCCATTTGGCGCCCCGTAAACACTCATATTGTGATTTCAAACCCTACTTCGTCAAGGTGTGGTCCACTCTAATTTACTAACCAGTTTTCCTGTCAAAGGTCGGTGGTAATCATCCCAATTGCTACTGAAAGACAATGTAATTCTCATTTCTTTTGACTTTAATAGGTATAAATGAAAATAACACTTTATACATTTCGTTCGTGCATGCGAAGCGCTTTTCTGGATTCACCTTGATCAAGAATGCTCAAACCGGGCTGTAAAAATACATAGAAAAAATAGGACCAATAGGGATCTAAAAAGAATAGCCAAAGTAATCTACCAAAGTTAACTCTGCCTGAGGGAGTTGCAACCTAAGTTTCTTAAGAAACTAGATTATTATTATCTTATAAACGGGGAATTTTAAAAACGTAAAGGGGGTATTATAAATCATGTCAGTACTGAACCACTGACTACGGAGCTAATGATACTCTCGGGAACTAACAGTCTAACTGGGGATAACAGGACTAACTGGGTACCAACCAAGTGCTAGTAAATTAAAATTAAAACTTTATAAACTGTGTGTATTCGAAGCGTTTTTCTAGATTTACCTTCATTAAGAACGCTAAAACCTAAACATCTAATAAAAAAATAATGGCAAACATTCCTATTTTTTACAATAAAATTGTACTGGGAGGATTCTTGATCACACTGAATTATAATTTGTACTGTGACATATATAATTTTATTGGTTTTGTTTTATGTTGGCAAGATCTTTAGCGGTCTCTGTTTCAGTTGTTCACAAACTGTCAAAACTTCAACCAATTTACAGTTTGGTGTATTATATCGACATCTACCTTTCTTTGTTTTCGTGCGCCGCAGTATTCAATAAACAGTCGTAGATATAAGATGTGGTATGAGTGCCAATGAGACAACTCTCCATCCAAGTCAAAATTTATAAAAGTAAACCATTATAGGTCAAAGCCTTGGCTCACACCGAACAGTAAGCTATAAAGGGCCCCAAAAATTACTAGTGTAAAACCATTCAAACGGGAAAACCAACGGTCTAATCTATATAAAAACGAGAAACGAGAAACACTTATGAACCACATCAACAAACGACAACTACTGAACATCAGATCCCTGACTTAGGACAGGTGCAAACAATTGCAGCGGGTTTAAACGTTTTAATGGTACCAAACCTTCACCCTTATCTGAAACAATAGTGTAACATCACAACATAGAAAGACACACTATAAAATATCAATTGAAATGGCTTAACTCAATCAAAAGACATATTAACACCAGTGAACATACACTAAACAAATAATTTGATACAATGTAAATACAAAATAAATAAACTAAGGGAAGAATAATTAAAGTAACATGTTATACTGCTGTGAAATGTTAAACAATTTAAGAAAAGCAATATGCTTGAACAAAATATCAGCCATTTACCTTAGTATTAAAACTTTTGACTTTTCTACCCTTTACACAAGTATTCCCCATTCCAAACTAAAAGACAAATTGAAAGAATTGGTTCTGCGTTGTTTCATAAAATAAATGGCCAACGTAGATACAAGTAGTTTGTATTAGGGATAAATCGTATTTTGTAAAAAAAAAAATCAATGTGATTAAAAAAAAATTCTCTGACTGTGCCATTATCAAATGCTTGATTTCTTAATTGACAACATATTTATCACGTTTGGAGGATGTGTTTTCAACAAACAATCCGCATTCTGTGCTCCTCTTCTTGCCGACTTGTTCCTTGGAACTTCTAAGGAAGAAGGGAAAAAAAGCTAGCATTATCCTTTAACATCACGTTTTGCTATATAGATGATGTCCGCTCACTGAATAATTCAAAGTTTGATGACTTTGTTGAACGCTTCTATCCCATCGAACTTGAAATAAAGGACACAACAGATACAGTTAAGTCTGCCTCATATCTTGACTTACATCTAGAAATTGACCATGATGGTCGGTTATGGTTAAAACTTTACGACAACAGCGATAATTTCAGCTTCCCAGTTGGGAACTTTCCATTTCTATATACATGTAGCAACATTTCAGCAGCACCTGCATATGGAGTATATATCTCCCAGTTGATACGATATTCCAGAGTTTGCATTTCTTACCATGGTTTCCTTGATAGTGGGTTGCTGCTTACAAGAAAGCTATGGTCAAGAGTTCGAAGTTGTGAAGTTGAAATCATCCCTTCAAAAAATTTTAAGGACGCCAACACGAGTTGGTTGACCGTTATGGAATAACTGTTTCACAGAAGACGATGGACATGTTCTAAGTGTAGTAACCACAATCCCGTCCTACGAGTGGGGTACTATGCTTAGCACGACAACGCGTGCATTCTTGTTTTATTGTCGATTGTTTAGACTGTATGCTGAAGTATGGGTATCGTCTTGTCATAAATGTGTTTTCGGGTTATTGTCTCATTTTTATTTCTTTTTATTCATATTCAATATTTTATTGTCAATATAAGTACAATGCACCGTGCAACAGAGTCATTATTGGTCGACGTTCCATTGACGTAAGCAGACTATGGTTAGAAGTTCCGTTTTGCTAAAAAAAAAATCATTTAAAACCATACCACAAAAACAATAACGTGTTTGAACAAAAGGTAAAAATTTAAATATTGATTGATTAATTATTCCATTAAAGAAATCAATTACTGCACGTTAAACTTGCAAATTCATTTACGTGAATAAGCAGTAACTAGAACATGCTTCTAATTTTGAAAATTGTTTTAAAATTTTTAAGTATATCTTCCCTATGCAAAACTGATTCCTTCTCCAGATTTTGGTATACTTTAGGGCCTGTTTTGATTTGATCAGATCTTTAACGTTTGTTTTAGGTTTAGATTCTTGAAAATAAATTATAATGGATCAACAACGAATATTTAGAATGATGGGAACATTTGGAAAAGGAACATAATTTTATATTCTTTTCGCTAAACTAGTATACATTATTGTTTAGGGACAAGCTAAAGCTCGGGTGCGAGATTTTCTCGCTGCCTTGAAGACCTATTGGTGGCCTTGGATTTTTTTCCTGCTCTTTGGTCGGGTAATTGTCTCTTTGACACATTACCCTTTTTCATTCTCTATTTTATTTCTGTTCAATGAACTAATTTGTTTAATTTTTGCATGTTTTAATTTACAGTTTATGTTTATTCTCATTCAAACAAAAACTAATTGTAAATAATCTTTTTCATTCAATTTGGTTAGTATGATTACTTTTAATACGTAGGTGATTTGTATTTTAACTTTCATTTTTGTTAAACATAGATTGAATAATCAAGTTCTTGGAGAAAACAAATCTTACGAATAATGTAGTATTATGATGTAGCAATATTTCGTGCTAATGGACACGAAGTTGCGTGGAAATTCATCTCACGAAAATGACTTGTATTAAATATTAAAAATTCCCTTGTTCCTATCAATCAACGTTATAACCAATTAATGCCTTCGGCACTTTTGTGTTCTCTCGGTTATGACGATTAAAATGCATGTGAATACGACACCTTTTTACGTCATAGTTAACATTCTATTTCCTTATATCCGACTTTGTGTTTTTTGATTGTATAAAATAAGAGTAAAGTATAGAAAATATAATTTTTGAATAACATACTTGGAATTTCAAAATCAAAACTATGAAGCGAGGTAAGTCACTAAATGCTTGATCGAGAATAAAAATTCTTTAAAAGTCGTATGAAGTATATCTATAATAAAGCTAGCATTAATCTGATGAAAAGATCTATGACTCTATAAACTTATTATTTATTTACGAAATACATATATGTCTATAGACGGCGGAACAGAAAGGACAACGATGCAACACTGTGGTTTAGTTTCTTGATTCTACAATAAAATATGTTGAAAAGTAGTTATTTTTAAAGCTTAAAATCTATATTAATACTTTTAAAATTGTTCTTTTTAGTTATAGCATGCCTTATTGTTCTGAATGGTGCAGCAATAATTTCTACGCTCCCACTTTTTAAAATATGTCCCGGTACTATCTAGTCAATACGAAAAGATATAGGTAGATACAGGAAGATGTGGTATAAGTGCCAATGAGACAACTCTCCATCCAAGTAACAATTTATAAAAGTAAACCATTATAGGTCAAGGTACGGCCTTCAACACGGAGCATTGGCTCACACCGAACAGCAAGCTATATTTTATGAAAATCCCAGTTAATTTGAAAAAGTTAGAAACAAATTTAAACATGGCTATCTCTAAGGGCCTATTTTTTCTGTATTTGTTTCACTCCAAGGGTCAAAATCTAAAAGTTGTCAAATACTAATGGAAATTGAATATTAAAAAGTCCATTTCATACTCTTAAAATCATTTTTCAACTATTTAACATATTTCCATAAAATCACAAATGGTATTCAGCGCTACATGTTGCTGTTGAAAACATTATGATACAAAATTGCATATCAAACAGATTTTCGCATCGAAGGACGCCTCTTAACCAACATGAATAAATTATTATCCGAAAACCAATATATAGATTTAATTCCAACAGAATTTTGGTTTGGTTAAGGATGTCCTTATTTATTTGGGAATAAATACTCTTACATTTCTTTCAATGTCCATTTCATGTATTTCTGTTACGTTAGCTACAGGGAATGGAATCATTACTACATGTTTGTACATGTGTGTCGAAAGGTCATAAAAAGGATATGTCTATAAAGAATTCCGTTTACTTTTAGAATATTTTAATTAGTCATGCTGTGTATAGAAGAGAGAGGTCATCCTCAAAGGAATGCGGCTTCATGTAGAATTTCAGACACTTATAAACAAGCAATAGTGGGATAATCTTAGTTTGTCGCATCCTTTCAGAAAAAAATGATATCGATGTATCTTAAAATTCTCCGAAAGATTAAGGGAAATCTGACTACAAGTTTACATGTTCGGTGAATATAAGAAGCAAAAGCACAGACAGAACTACGATTATCGTATCCTCGGTAAAAAAGAAACCACGAAATACGCTCCTTTTCTTTCTTTTTATTTATAACATCATATTATATTTCAAATATTCTGATATAGATTTTTTGTTATCATTTCAGAACAAACGATTGTTCCGTTATTGTATTTAATCACCTTCCTTCCAGCATTAGGTAAGTCATATTCATTAGAATCATTAAGAATTCATATTGAAAAGTCAGTCATTTCAACTCAAAATGGTTAAACTTCAATATATATTTAAAAGCTATTAGGAGACTCCTATAAACAATACAAAATTCGGTAAGGGTTCTGCGGAACCCTGTGTTTTGCCTGCGATTGTACGTATAAAGCATAGAAAAATAAAAGATTTATTTATAGTCGGGTATACATATAACAATACAACATAAGCTCTGAAGAGCTTGAGCTTTTAACCACGTGTTTTAACCGACATACATATATTTGATAAACACAAGACATAAAACAGAAAGCACATCATATATAGATATATAAGAAGATGTGGTATGAGTGCCAATGAGACAACTCTTCATCCAAGTCAAAATTTAAAAAAGTAAACCATTATAGGTCAAAGTACGGTCTTCAACACGGAGCCTTGGCTCACACCGAACAGTAAGCTATAAAGGGCCCCAAAAATTACTAGTGTAAAACCATTCAAACGGGAAAACCAACGGACGGTCTAATCTATATAAAAAACGAGAAACGAGAAACACTTATGAACCACATCAACAAACGACAACTACTGAACATCAGATTCCTGACTTAGGACATGTGCAAACAAATGCAGCGGGTTTAAACGTTTTAATGGTGCCAAACCTTCACCCTTTTTCTGAAACAATAGTGTAACATCACAACATAGAAAGGCACACTATAAAATATCAACTGAAATAGCTTAACTCAATCAAAGGACATATTAACACGCATGCATAGTACGTATTTGTTAACTGCAAAACAAACTTAGTTCGTTTGTCATTAAAATACAGAAGCATGAAACAAATATATTTTCAAAATTTTACTCTAGATACTTCTGTCTAAGTTTCGCAAATTTCGAAGTATAGGGTTGACAAGGAAATTGATGCCTTAAAAACTTAAACCACAGACTGAACCTAAATTTTGATGCCGTCAAAGATGGAATGTAGGATCGTTATGTCTCGCTTCTGCGACAAAATGTTCCAGGCAAAAATGAACAAAAACAAGATAGCATTTCTTTTTAGCGTATGAAAACAATAAGACATTGACAAAAGTTATTCTAGTCCTGGCCTCGGTGAATTACTTTCAGTTTTGCAATTTTCTACTGTCACTGCAGAAAATAGCAAAACTGAAAATAAGTGTCCGAGGGCAGGGCTGGAGTAGAAAAAGAGTTAGATGTACGTTACACCCTTTTGATTTGTTGTTTATATCACATCATAAGACAAAACAGAAAAAAAGGCGAGTTATAACTTACAAGAATGCACAACATGTGTAATTATGATTACGCCCAACACTCACAAATATAACGATGGGGCTTCTAAATTGAACTTTTATTTTTTTAGCTGCAAACATTCAACCCATTGATGTACCTAGTCCATCTTCTCAAAATGGCGACAGTGCAAGAATTGTAGCAACGTCTTTGGACCACCCACCTGTTTGGATAGACCCAATTGCTTCTGATACGTTTTCTCAGTCACAAACTCCATTTTTCAACTGGGAATCTCTTATGTCGTCAAGTAATATGAACAATTTTCCACAGACTGGGGGAGATATTCCTACATTTCAGCTCGGCGAAGGTATACCAATGGACAGTGTTCAGGTTATAGAGAATGTTGGACAGATCACACAGGATATAAGTGCAGCTGTTCAAACGGATACTAAAATCGCTCAACAAAAAGATTCACAAGCTTCCTTAACACATTTGTCCACTATGAATAATGTAAATACACCTTTACAAGAAATCTTGCATCATCCAAACCCCGCAAGTTCTGTTGGAATTTTGGATCAGGATGCAACAAGTTTAAAGAATAACATTGGTGTGGATCCTAGATTAATGTCTCCAGATAATCCAGCAGTAGATAATCCTAATCTGCTTTCACCAGATAATCCTACTCATGCTGATCTGATCGATTTTATGATTGCAAAAGATATGGCACAGGGAACAGAAACTGTTATACATCAAAAACCAACTGAAATCAATCCATTCGGAGTGAATCAAGAACATGAAAATATATTCCCAAAAGCTCCTTCACATGATGTCCTACCTCGCATCGAAACAAGCCCTAGTCGTTCGTCAGCTGCTGATATCTCAACTCCAATTCGACATCAAAATATAAACACAAAGAAACAGCAACGCAAAGCAGAGAATAAAGAAAGGAGAAAAATGCAACAGCAGCAACGACAAGCAAGGAACAAAGAAAGGAGACAAATGCAGCAGCAGCAACGAAGAACAAAACAGGTACAACGTCAACAGATGCGACAAATACAACAGCAAGAAAGACAACAACTTCGCAAACAACAAAGGGAAGAGAGAAATAAAAAAATATTTGCTCAAAAATTAGCATTACGACAACAAAAACAAAAAGCGAGAATACAACAGAAAATAGAACAACAAATAAAGAAACTGGAAAATTTAGAAAAGGTTGGCCTTAATCAACAGACAGCTGTCGTTGATAAACAAGCTTTTCGTGTAAACAATAAAATCAAAAAACTTAAGTCACGTAGAGTCCCGAAAGGGAAAAAAGGGAAATTTAGAAGAGGAAAATGGGCAAAAGGTGCCATTAAAAAGAAATCAAAAGGGAAGCCAAAAAAATGAAACAAGTGTATGAAATAAACGTTTTAGCATAACATTAGATACTATTGAATAAAATATGAACTTGTCTTGAAATCCAATGTAAAACTTATTCGTTTTGATTAGTTGATAAAAATGAATTGTATATAAACTTATAACAAATTGTTTAAACAAAATTTTCAGTTTGTTTAACCATTTTTTAAATTATTTATTTATGAGTTTTCCATACATGTGTATTGCTGTTATTGCCCATTAATAAATTATTTGAATATCCAAGTTTATGTATTGGTTTGTTTGTTTGTTACGTTTATTGTCGCAATGTCCTTTTTGAATTACAGCTACGGAAGTTCATGAAACATTGTTATCGAGCAAAGATGAAACTTAAAGTCAAAAGTAATTATTATAATGAATATTGATAAATCTGCAATCGAAAAATACACAGCAATACTGTTCTGATCGAGTTCCTCCCGAAATGAAACGTATCAAATGTTTATTTAGCCGCAATTCCTCTGAAACTACAGAATGGCATCTTTAACATAAGTGATATATCATTTGTCTGTTACAATATGTGCCTCCTATTTGTATTTAAAATCTTTCTTTTTTTTTTTGCTTTTATACGTTTTGAAAAAATTCCGGACCAAGTGTTCAACACTTTTACAACTGGGATCAGTTCCTACCTCTCATAAAAACTGGCAGGAATTGTTAATTCTAGAACAGTCTATTAATAGAACAGTTCTGTCACCGTTTAAACAATTTCTGACTTAGGCGATTCTGCCCTAGAACAGTTTTTGACAGTTCAAGCAAATCTTAGAAAAGTTTTTGACAATTCTACCTTAAAACTGATTCTGAATGTTCTACCCTTAAACAGATTCTGACATTTCTTTATCTTGACCACTTCTAGCTCTATCTATTTATATAGTTATTCACTTGTCTATTTTTATATATCCTATTTCATTGATTGATTGATTGATTGATTCATTGATTGATTGATTTATTTGTTTATTGATTGATTTATTTATTTATCAATTGGTTGGTTGATTGATTTATTTATTTATTTATCTGTTTTTTTATCTAATTATATCAAACAAAATATTCTGGAATATCGTTGTTTCTTCCACGATTAAGTATTTTATTTTTATTAGTTGTTATTTCCATATTGTTTTATTAGTGTTTTAGCTTTTTGTGCTGTTGTTAATATGCTTAAGCATTATAATGTACAAATAAAAATGTTTTTGATTTATAATAAATGATGAACATGGTGAAATAACTTAACTGAAACATCCATCTACGACTGTAATTATTTTTATTATGCAACCCATTTTATTTAAAATTTGACGTACATAGATTTTTAAGCTAACTGTCCCTGTTCTTAATCACAGCCAGAGAGCTTGACGTAAATAAGAGCAGCTCTCTGGTTGTGATTTAAAACAGTTTTTGACAGTTCTATCCAAGAACTTGTTTTTACAGTTCTATGGTAGAACATTCAATGACATATATTCTTAACAGATTAAAAGAGAGGTTATAACTGATCCCATTTGTATGATATCAATATCATTATATAAACAAGTCTAAATTGAAAACAACGTTCAAACCTATGATTGCGTTGGATAAAAACCGCAATTTTTATACGTGTGCATGAAAAACAAATTTCTTGTTAGAGGGGTCTAAATACAGCACAAACAACATTTTCCAAAAGACCAAAAAAGTGAAAAAGTATATTTTAACAAAACGAATTTGACTAGCAGGTCGAACAACGGATGTTCTTAAACCCTGCTGACTGCCATTGGCGATGCCAAATAAACGGATCACCAGATGTAACAAAATGGATCTTATTTATTGATTTAATACCAAAAAGAAAACATTAAACTTACGGAAAAGATGGTATACCGCAAACAAAAGGTGCAAAAATTAGTACACCATATCCGGATTTCGACAATTAATGTCTCATGTTTAATATCATTATATATATATATATATATACTGTTCTAATTCATGCGCAACTTCTGTTTATATATTTAGAAATTATGTGTGTTGGTTTCAGTTTTTAACACTGATCGATACCGCTGCTGGTGGACTACCAGTCCCTGAGGGTATCAACAGCTCAGTAGTCAGTATTTTGGTACTAACATGATTTATAACAAACCTTATTTTCTTAATAGACCAAGACTACGAAGATCCCACTGACGTTGCGCACGATGTTGGTACTACTTAGCGTTTCACGACGTTCCTCAAAATAAGGCGATTTCGACGATTTCAAAGAAAGTTTCAGGCGTTCAAGCATATTATTGATGGTGTCAATTTACTGTTGTGAATTTGGTAACCGATTTCGGTTTGTCTGAAAAAATGCATAAATTTATAAATAAAACTCAAAGTGGTCGTATAGATATTTTTTTAATGAAATTCATTTACAGGAGTTGTCAGTCTTTCCAGGCCATAATTGATAATTTTCCTTTCGGCAGCAGTTCGCATTTATGAATCCGATACAATAATGTCCAGATTTACACAGATTTATTTTTAATATAAATTAGATTTTGAATTCATATTCTCCTATTGTTTGCATATTTATTCCTTTTGTTGCATTTCTTCCCGTTTCCGTTTCCTTTCTATATTTTATCATTTCCCGATGCTTTCTTTGTCGCAAAATATTTAGGAAGTTAAACATTCGGGACTCATGTTTTAAATTTTCTCATTTCCGTATTTTTGTGGCATATCCTTTGTTTGTTATAATTGCCAGCAATGGGTTTTCTCTATTTTATTTTTAACAAAAAAATATACATGTTACTTTTGACGATTTAAAACTTGCAGATAGACAATGTTCCTTATATAAAACAAATATATATTTTAGTTAAAAAAAAACCCTAAGATCCCGATATTTTTTTTATATCGATCTCATTTGGTCAACATTTGAATTTAAACTTAAACTATTCCTTTCCCATACATTGGTTGTATTGTAATTTATACATGTATTTTTATTTTCATTCGAATTAAACTGGAAACAAATAATTACGATATAAAATTAAAAACCAGAGCATGACATCAATTACGTTTTGCGAACGTTGGGACAAAACGGCTATACTTTTTGAAACGATCTAAAAACCTTGTTGCCTAACGAAAAAATATTAAACACTATATTGTTTAAGAAGAAAAACAGAAAAACCTTTACCGCCAAGTTTTATTTTTTATGATCTAACTATGCTTATTTGATAGACAGCTGGTTAAAAACCTCAATTTTAAAGAAAATACAGCGTTTTTTTCGTTGGGACAAGATGGCTATACTTTTTGAAGTCATTGCAATAGAAACTATACGCATGGTTTCCGGCAAAAAAATATCATGAACCAGGAGAAAAGTAAAAAAACTTTCAAAATATAATAAATACTTTTTCTCTCAGCTTTTTCAATTTCACGGTATAAATGCGCAAACCAGAAATATACTTACTTTGCATACGGTTGGACATTTTTCACACCGTTTACAAAAATAACATTTTCCGGATTACGGTTTCAGTGATATTGATTTTGCTTTAACACGCGAATAATTATAACAATAGCAATATTATTGTGAAGTTTTACGATGATCAGAGAAAAAATACCGTAGAAGAGAAACGGAACTCTAATCTTTTGCACACAAAATGAAACGTTGGACATTACGTTTTTGCGTAAAAATGGGATAATTAAGTGTTATAATTCCTGGTATTTTAAATTTCGGTTCCTTTTTTTCTTTAATTTCAAGTCTAATGGAATGAATTCAATCAAAAATCACTATATTTTTATCGAACTGACCAGTCTACGTATTTATTTTTATGCTAATCTATAGCAAAATGGAATTGGTACCAACATCGTGCGCAACGTCACTACGATCTAAAAAAAAATAAGATAATAATATTGTTGGATGTATTTTTTCTCTAATATCATTATATTTATTACATTCTGATAAAAAATGAAAAGCACGACAATATAATTTTAGGACGAATTTATAAAAGCAGTGAACTGACCTTAATATAATAAAAAACTTATAAACAGTATTTAAATGATACGCTTTACATATAACGCCGCCAAGTTACATATTACATATAAATATTTCAAATTGTAATATCGATACTATTTGCTAATGGAGGAAATATTATTCTCTGCGGGAGACTTATGTACAAGGAACATTTTATTGTGAGTCCTGAGTTTAGTAGTTTGAAACAGATACTTAAATACTCATGATCCTACATTCTGTTGATACTGTTTACTTATATTTTGGCATTGCACATGATCATGCGTTTCTCATACTGTTTATGACGTCTTAACACTAAATCCGTTGGGTATTTACTGATTGATACTTTAGTCTTGTAGAACATGATTTATTTATTAGTTGTAATTAACTTTGAACTAGCTTTCAGTAACTGCAAATACTATCAGATTGGTGCTTTGTGTCTATTATTTTAATGTTATTTATTTGTGCTTTGTACTGATCTATTGACTTAAGCAATTTACAACTGATTTTTATAGTTTATTCTTATGTTGTACTGTTATATCACTGTCACATGTAATGAAAGGGATGATCGCTCACAAACATGTTTAACCCCACCACATTCTGTATGTGCTTATCCCAAGTCAGGAACCTGTTATTCAATGATGTTTCGTTGGTTCATGTCTGTCTTTTTTTTGGTAAATTGTAAATTAGGCCGTTAGTTTTCTCGTTTTAACTGTTTCACATTTGCTATATAAAAATAATTGACGACAATGAGACAACTATCCACCAAAGTTAAAAAAAAAGGTGGATGTAATCAATTATAGGCAACCGTACGGCTTTCAACAATGAGAAAAACCCATACCATATAGTCAGCTATAAAAGGACCCGACATGAAAAATATGAAACAATTCAATTGAGAAAACTAACGGCCTAATTTATAACAAAACAATTTACGAAAAACAAATATGACAGACATGAACCAACGAGGACTTCTATAGCCGACTTCACGGTACGGTGACGTATAATTGCTAATATCCACGTCATTTGAACTCTGGTGGAAAGTTGTCCCATTGGCAATTAAACCACATCCCCTTTTTTTATACACTTATATACCTCTTTCTATGAGACTTTAAGTTAGAAGACAGCAAACCTGGTTAATATCAACCAATCCGATATTGAAGTTAAAGTAGATAGATATAAGAAGATGTGGTATGAGTGCCAATGAGACAACTCTCCATCCAAGTCAAAATTTATGAAAGTAAACCCTTATAGGTCAAAGTACATTCTTCAACATGGAGCCTTGGCTCACAACGAACAGCAA